TACTGACTGGAGGTGGCAGGCGCAGTGGGGCCGGGATGAGCGGGAGCAGCATGGACTGTGGGGATCAGGCTGAAACCGGCAGTCCAACATCCCCCGAGGGGGCCAGGATTGTGAGAGGGCTCGAACCAGGCTGAGGGACCCCACCGGTGCACAAATCTGTGCACTGGGCCTCTAGTTAATTTAATAAAAACTCAACCTTACTCTCTGGCCAGGATAGTAAATCCCTACACAACTAGTCAAACTTTCTCACTTCGCCCGCCTGTGTGACTCAGTTGGTTGAGCGTTGTCCCATGCACCAAGAGGTCATGGTTTGGTTCCTGGTCAGGGCATATGCCCCAGTTAAGGGCTCAATTCCCTACAGGACATGCAGGAGGCAGCAGATTAATGTTTCTCTCTCGGTGATATTTCTATCTCTCTCCCTCTCCCATCCTCTCCCTCTCTAAAATCAATCTATCAACAATCAATAAACTTTCTTACTGTGATATCCCCATGACACATTCAGGACTAGAGGATAAATCATAAAGGCTTCCAGGAGAAGGAAGTATCCCACTGAGATCTGAAGAGGCAAATTGCTACTCTGCATGAATGGGTCAGTGAGACTGTTCCAGGCAACTGGCAGAACAGAAGAGTCAAAGAACCTAGTGCGGAGGTGTCTGACTCTCCTGGCCCCCACCCAGACTGGCTTCTGTATCCTCCTGGAAACCAGAAAGCCACTCTAACCGACTACCACCCAATTCATATTCCAATGAGGCCTGTGACCAGCTCTCAATCCCACACTATGAATAACTTCAAGACAAGGCAGCAAGAGGACTCCTGGGTCTTACTGGTCTGGAGTGGGGAACCAGGTCAAAGATCCTTGCTCTAGAGCCTTCTTTTCTCCTGCTTCTTCAAATTTGGCACTTCAAGGGTGAATACAGTACAGACGAGTACCCTGGGAGTTTTCTGAGGTAGGGAGAGGCATCACCCCACCCCCACCACTGCCTTGTAAAGTCTGAAGGGGACAGCAGGCAGGTTGATGCCACACACCAGCCACCTCTCCTCTCTGCCTGTGCATGTCCCTGACACAGCCTCAACTATTCCTCCCCATACCTACACACCCCAAAGGAAAGGGGTCAGGTTGCCCAGCAGCTCACCCAGCCATCTGCAGCCATAGATGCAAATCACATCCCCTCAGAGCCCCAGTGCTCCCCAGGGGCCCCATGGCCCAGCCTGACCTCCAGCTCAAGTCTGGTGAATAAGGCTTTATAGCAGGACGCCTTCAGCATGGTGGGTGACAGGTTGCCACCAATGACCGGCACAGTGGTCACTGACAGGGGCACAGGCACCTGTATGGTGGGCTTCGTGGGGAAGGCCTGGCCCACCTATGCCATGGCCACCATTAGGCTGCCAGCCTAAGAAGCCAGCCACCACAGGGCAGCCAGTGCTGGAGAAGTTCATAGGCAAGGCCGCCCATGATCTCCTGGAGCTGTCTCTGGTGCAGGCGATAAGGAAAGACATTGTGGTGAACTGGAATGAGGCCAAGCTCATCTGGTGTCGCCTGCTGGATCACAACCTCCATGTGGCTACCCTGGACCACCTGCTGCTGTTCTCTCACTGCCCTTCAGCACCAACTGGGAGAGGTGGCCTTTGAGTTGCAGCGCTCACCCACCATACACATGGCTGTCCAGTTGCTGCTGCCCGTCTGTGCACACAGGCAGGTCAGCAGGCTGGTAGTCAACACGGGCCACAGGCTCACCTGCACAGTGCCTGTCTTCCAGGGCTACCACCTGCCAAATGCCACCAAGAGTTTGGACCTCAAAGGCATCCACCTGAACACCTTCCAAGCTGAGATGCTGCTGGGCTCCGGCTTGCCTGGGGCAGCAGGACCTGGACATTGTGGAGAACATCAAGCGCCACTATTGCTATGTAGCCCCTGGCTTCCAGAAGAGCAGCCTGGACCCAGCTGGAATGCCGGCAGATCCCGAAGCTGCCCGAGGAACAGTCGGTCACTTTGGGCAAGGAGCTGTTACAGTGCCCAGAGCTGCTGTTCAGCCTCCCAGAGATCCTAGGTTGTTGCCCGTGGGCGTTTCCACCATGGCCAAACATAGTCTTCTCAAGGTGCCCCCTCCCCCAGGTGCAGGTGATGTGGCCCAGAACAGGCTGCTCTGAGGAGGCTCCTCGCTCTTCATGGCGTTCCAGGGCCACTTCTGGGCCAAGCTGCTGTGCAGTCTGCCCTCAGAGGAGCACATGGTGGTGATGGCCTAGCACACCTAGAACTTCAGTGTGGATCGGGGCTCCATACTGGCCTCATTGCCCAACTTCCAGTTCTGCTGGGTCCTTTGGGAGCAATACAAGGAGCAGGGACAGCAAATGCTACCGATGAGGGGTGAAGATTGTAGACAGTAAAACTTCTGCTACCCAGCTGGCTCTGTCCTGCCTTCTCCAAGAGCATGGTCTAGTCCAGTGATGGCGAACCTATGACACGCGTGTCAGAGGTGACACACGAACTCATTTTTTTGGTTGATTTTTCTTTGTTAAATGGCATTTAAATATATAAAATAAATATCAAAAATATAAGTCTTTGTTTTACTATGGTTGCAAATATCAAAAAATTTCTATATGTGACACGGCACCAGAGTTAAGTTAGGGTTTTTCAAAATGCTGACACGCCGAGCTCAAAAGGTTCGCCATCACTGGTCTAGTCCACTCCTGGACCCACACAGACAAAGACCCCCTAACCCTGTCAAACCCATCTCCCATGGTCTGCCTCCCATCCCCTTAGGCAGTCTCAGCTTGGGATTTCACCCCCAAGACATGCCCAGATTTGGCCCCCCTAATCTTACTCCCATGATCTGTTGCTTTTGATATAGTTCCCCAAGATTCCCCTGGGCTCTAAGGCCCCTAATTCACCCCCTTGCTATGTTCCTCAAGGACCCCCAACCCATTCCCATAATCTGTTGCTCTCCAAGGAACCTGCACAGGGTGCCCCAACCCCACTCCCAGAATCTTTCCACAAGCGTTCCAGCCCCTAGGTCCACTCTCATAATTTGATCCCTATTTCTAATTCCCCAAACATACCCCCTAGATCCACTTGCTAAAGCGTCCTTGGTTGTGAGCACCCCAAATCCACCCTCTGGTTGTTTTTTCCTATTTGATTGCCCAAATTTCTCTGACACACTGGTGTTCTGAGCACCCCAAGTCCCCCACAAATGCCACACACCCCACATCCATCACAAAGCTCCACGTTCTGTTCCACAAGGGTCTCCCCTACAATGGTTTACTAAAAGGTTTACTAAAAGATTTTCCAGTGCCCACAACCTATCCCCCAACTCCACCCTCCCCACAAAATTTGTTCTTCCAGCATGATTTGTTCCCCCAGATTCCTTTTCATCCATGTGCTCCCACAACCCATCCCCAATCCATAGCCCCAAGGAGCACCATGTTCTGAGACCCCAAACTCCCAGGATGACCCTCACTGCTCTCAGCCCACATCCTTGCCCTGCATCTGCCCTGGATATACTCCTGCGTGGCCCCTTCACAGTGTACCTCCTGTCCCATGCCTCAGCCCCTCCTGAAGGCTCCAGCCCCCAGGACCATTCTGTGGTGACCCCACTAATGTCCTAGGTCATTTGCTATGTCTGACCCACAAAGATAGTCTCCCAAGGTCGCCCCATGATGAACCCCCAGGACACCCCGAACCTACCTCAGAACCAGCCCCCAGGCTCTATCCCATTAGTTGAGTCACCAATGGGCAATGATGTTCCCCAAGGCTGCCCAGCCCACCGTGACCTGAGGTAGATACCTCAAGTCGGGGGCTCTCCCTAGAAACTGGCTCCCTCCTCCCTCAGCCCCCACACAGTCCCCAGGGGCAAATTGTCCTGGGCTGTGTTTCCCCATCTCCCTCCTTTCTGCTAGTAGTTCATGAGAAGTTTACTGCAGCTCCCCAGGCCTTGCTCAGCCTGTTTCTGCCACCCCACCCCAGGGGCTTTCTCTGGGATCTGCCCTGAGTATGAGGCCTCTCCTGCCCATTCCAGTCCCTGCAGAAGCCTGAGTGGGAGTCCAACCTCTCATGACGGGAGACTGGGCATTCTCCCCACAGGTTGCTCTTGGCCTTTCTTAGCTCACCTGGGCCCCTACTGGAGGCAGGACCCTCTGCTTTCACACCACCATCCAGCCCAGCCCAGTGCACACCAGGACCCAGGTCAGCAGCTGGACACATCCTCCCAGTTTATCAATAAAATAAGCACAAACTGCCAGAGCTTACTCATGTTCACACTGGGTCCTCTCCTCCTCCAGGACAAGGAATCCTTCCTTCCTTCCTTCAACCAGTCAATAATTACTGAGCATATCTCTCCCTCGTTCTCTCACTCACCTGCCAGCACTCCTCTTATGTAGGAATTTTCTGGAGTGGAAACATATATTTATGAAGCATTGAGCCCATGCCATCTGACCCCCTCATATACCATCAGACAATGGGGGTGGGTCGAGGGCCCTGGCCAAGATCTTTCGTGTTGGACCCCGCCTTGCCTCACCTCCCCACAAGGCAAGCAGCTTCAATCTGTAGAATCAGCAAGAACCCCCATACTAAATGATAGTGAGGG